AGGCCGTAAACACACACCGGGAGAAACCTGAGGTAGGTGATGGACTCTGTGGCTTAAGCTGGCACCCAGTGAAAGCACCCTCTCCCACAGAAAGGCAGCCCCGGTCCCACAGAGCTTGGGTGTTTCACTCCAAAAGGTAGGATAACCCAGAAATGTGGGAACCGCAGCCCAAACCTGAGGCACCAGAGACGCAGGGCTGGAGCAACCCCTGTCAAAAAGGCCTCCAGCCGGGATTCCGCCAGGCTTGTGGGAGAAGAGGGTCAGGATCCAGGCCTGGCTGAAAAAGGGGAGCCTGGCCGTGAGAACAAGAGGCAAGGAGGGGCTGGCACTCCTGTCTCCTTCCTATTAACACTGGGTTCTCTCCTCTCAGAATGTGGACATCACCCGAGAACCTCAGGAAGCCCTGGACACTGTCCCTGCCCACTACTGAGCCCTTTCTAAGAGGTCAAACTGCCTCTCTCCTCACTGTCTTCCACCTTTGGGAGCTGCTATCATTGCTACTCTCTTATCCTGAGAACTATCTGGACTTGGCCTCACTGGAAGAGACCCGCTTCCAGTGAAGAAGCCCTCATCAGCTGCAAAACAGGTCTTGGTTTCTAGCTACAACCAAGGAGTTGTCCAGCTCAGAATGAAACTTTTTCTTTCTGAATTCCTATTCCCTGATCAATAAAGACTTCTCTTACTGCCTGCAAAAGGGGAGAAGAGGTCATTGTAAGGCTTCTCTGACAAGATCTTGTTAAGATGCTGACCCTGTGAAATGGCTCTGGTGCTGTGGGGCTGTGGAATGGGTGAGAGCTTCCTGGAGAGAAAGGCTTTGGGGCAGTACCTCCAAACGTGAGGGAGGAGATAGGTCCAGGTGAGTGCCTATGGCCTTGTTCCTTGGTGAGCAGCATGACTGAGGACAACATCTTCACCCCTACACTCAGAGAAGAATCTGCCTTTGGACCACATTGCTCCTCTCTTCCCCAACACTTGCTGCCATCCTGAGTGATTTCACTTGTCCAAATAAATGATCCAAACAATACCCTAGCCTCCCATTCCCCTGCCCCATCAACTTCAGTGACCATCTTCCCTTCATCCACTCCATGGACCTTGGTTGGCATAATCCAGACTTCGCTCTAGTCTGACTTCTTAAAGACAAGCATCCCACTACCTGACCACTGACCCTTAGTCCTTCCAACTTTCTGTGTCAACCACAGGATCCCTAGCAGCATGCCTCTCACACAGCAGGCATGTATGTAGTATTTCTTAAATAAACAATATTGGTTCTTCTACTGCATCGAGTGTGGAGTCCCCTGACTCCTCTATCATCTCCCAGCCCTCTTCTTCTCATTGTTCTTCCATCCCTGCCCAGCTTGGATCCTACATTTCATCTCTTCAGCTACTCTCCATGCAGCTACAATGGGCAGGTACTGGCAATCCAGTGGTGAAGAGACAGACTCATATACCTCCTGCCTTTATTCCTTTGTCCTTCAATTGCAACCACCAGCAAGACCCAAATTTTGTATAATCCGCATCACCTCTTTTACTGGAATCTACTACAATGTTGCTGACAGCTGCTTGAAACAAATCTGCATTTATCTGCTTCCACAGCCACCCTTAGATCCTGTTCAAAGTCAGGGTCACCCTCTATTCTCTGGTATTCTAGTCCATCCCACTTTCTTAAGGATGGGCTAATTTAGTCAATTCCTTACTATTCCATACCTATATCCTGCCCTTCTCTATCAGCTTTTGCCCCCACAGTCTATGCAACATGTTCAGGTCTCTCTCCCCTATTCCAAGAAAATGCTCCTTTGTTCCCATGTCCACCTTTAGTTACTTCCCTTTCTATCTCTCCATTCTTATATAGACATCTCATAATAAATCTACACTTACTATCCTGAACCTTCTCCCTTTGCCATCTGTTCCAGGCTTTCCTCCTCTATGTGTTTGCTTAAGCTATTATCCCCTTGCCTGCCATGCTTTCCCCAGGCTTCTATCCCACTGAAGTCATACTTGTTTTTTAGCCTAAATTTGGAGCCCACCTTCCCCATAGAGCTATGCTGATCTCTAGCTCTTCGATGAACCTGAAATATCACTCACAAGAACCTAAGCATATTAAAAGACAGAACAAACTCTAATTCATTTTGCAAATTTAATGTAACTCTGATACCAAAATATGACAAGACACAAAAAGCAAACAATAAAGCAGGATTGGCAAATAGATTTTTCATAATGTGTTACCCTCAGCTGATTGGTAGTATCTGCTTAGACTGTTGTGTGGACAAAGATTCCAAGGATGTACCTTGGCTCCATGGGAAGGGCTGCTGCAATTCATTGGTGGGATCTGTAAACATGGGAAATAAACCTGAAAACAAAATACCAAACAGAAACATATTTTAGCACTAAATATACTGTTTTCTCACACTTCCTTCATTGTGCTCATCTCCCCACCTTGCCCTCCCGCCTTGGGGTTTCTTATAGCATCTCCCAGTTCTTATACCCATCCCCATGGGTCTTGGCTATGGAAATGTTGTAATTACCTGAAACCTTACTAGCCATAGGAGAAGCTATAGGCACCAAGGCTGGTGGCTCCACCACCAAAGCCAGCACCATTGCTCGGTCCACCGCCAAAGCCAGCACTACTGCTTGGTCCACTGTTGAAGCCAGCACTGGTGCTCAGTCCACTGCCAAAGCCAATAATAGAACTGGGTCCACCAATGAAGCCGGTGTTGGTGCTGGGTTCGCCGGTAAAGCCAGTGCTGGTGTTGGAACCACTGCCAAAGCCAATGATGGTACTCAGTCCTCCGTCGAAGCTGGTATTAGGCCCACCGCCAAAGCCATCACTGATGCTGAGGCCACCACTAAAGTCAGCACTGGTGCCAAGTGTGCTGCCAAAACCAGCATTGGTGCCCAGTCCACCACCAAAGCCATCACTGGAGATCAGTCCACCACCAAAGCCAGCACTGGTGCTCAGTCCACCACTGAAGCCAGAGCTGGTGTTCAGTCCACCACCAAATCCAGCACTGGTGCTTAACCCATCGCCAAAGCTGAAACCGGCACTGGGGCTGGGTCCATCACCAAAACTGACACCAGTAGGACCACTAAAGCAGGTACTGGTGCTGGGAGGGCCCCCAAAGCACAGGTTGGTGTTAGACACACTGCCAAAGCAGAAGCTGGCGCTGGGGACTCCATCAAAGCCAATGGTGGTGCTGGGAGCACTGCCAAAGTCAGTAGTGGTGTTAAGTGCCCCACCGAAGTCAGCACTGGTGCTGAACACACTGCCAAAGCCAGAGTTGGTGCTGGGTGCACTACTAAAGCCGGTGCTAATGCTGACAGCACTGCTAAAACCAGCACTGGTGTTGAGTGCACCACCAAAACCAGCACTGGTGTTGAGTGCACCACCAAAGCCAACACTGGTGCTGAGTGCACCACCAAAGCTGGCACTGGTGCTAGGAGAGCCACCAAAGCAGACACTGGTGCTTAGTGTGCCACCAAAGTCAGTGCTGGTGCTAGAAGAGCCACCGAAGGAGACACTACTACTGAATACACCATCAAAACCAGTGCTGGTGCTAGGAGAGCCACCAAAACAGATACTGGTACTGAGTGTGCCACCAAAACTGGCACCAGTACTAGGAGAGCCACCAAAGTAGACACTAGTGCTGAGTGTGCCACCAAAGCCAGTGCTGGTGCTCAGTGCACCACTAAAGACTGCACTGGTGCCGAGTGTACTGCCAAAGCCGGTGCTCATAATGAGTGCATCACTGAAGCCAGCAGTGGTGCTGGGTGTGCCTCCAAAACCAGAGCTGGCTCCACCACTGAAACTGGTACTGGTGTTGAGTGGGCTAATGAAACTAGAGCTGATCCCACCACCGAAGTTGACACTGGTACAAGATGTGCCACTAAAGTTAATACTGGTTTCACTGCTGAAACTAGAGCTGGTGCTGACTGCACCACTGAGGCTAATGCTGGCTCCGCCACTGAAGCTGGAGCAAGCACTGGCTGTGCCGCCAAAGCAAATGCTGGCTGCACTGCTGAAGCTGGCACTGGTGCTGCATGTGCCACCAAAGCTAAGGCCAGCTCTGCCACCAAAGCCACCACTGGGGCTGGATGTACCACTGAAGCTAATACTAGCACCATCGCTGAAGCTAGCCCTGGTGCTAGCTCCTCTGCTGAAGTCAATGTTGGTGCCGGCATTTGCACTTTCTTGGGCTCTGGCCTCAATTTCAAATGAAAATCTGCTCCAGGCCTGAGCATCATCGCCTAACTCTTCCCTTGTTAGGCAGTCGATATCCATGTCATCCCAATTCCAGGGCCCAGCCACAGCTTCCTCTCCAATCCCCATTTGGGCTCTTGCCTCAGCCCTGGCCTCAGCCTCAGCCACAGCCACAGCTGCAGCTTGGACTTCCATCTCCACTGCCTCCCGGTACTGAGCGGCCCAGTCCTTGGGGTCTTTCTTCTGCACCTGAAATAAGAATGACAATCATTATAAGGAAAATAACATTTGTAATTATGTATTAAGTACCTACCATGGGCTTTGTATAAAACTAATGGTAGCATTTTAAAAAATTCTAAGTTGTTGGGGGCACTCTAATGGGTCAGTCCTGAGATCCAATTTTAGCTCTGATAACTTAGGTGCTGTGTGACCTTGGACAAGTTAACCTTAACCTCACTGAGCCTGTTTTCATCTGTAATATGGGAAAAGATAAGAGAGTAAGTATGTTATGAATTGAATGTTTGTGTCCCCCCAAAATTCATAGGTTAAAGCACCAGCCTCCAATGTGACTACATTTGGAGGTAGGGCCTTTATGGAAGTAAAGTTAAATGAGGTCATAATGGTGGGGCCATGATCCAATAAGATTAGTGTCCTTATAAGAAGAGGCTCTCTCTCCACCATGAACACAGCAAGAAGGTGTTCGTCTGCAAGCCAGAAGAGAGGCTTCTCCAGAACTGACCCTGCTTGACCTTGATCTAGAACTTCCAGTCTCTAGGACCATGATAAAATAAATTTCTGTTGTTTAAGCCACCAAGTATATGGTATTTTGTTATAGCAGTCAAGGAGACCAATATGAAGTATGAATAATGAATGAAATAATGTAAATTTTATGTCAAGAAGCATTCTAGGACATGAATGAAGTTACATATGTTTATATATGAACTTCAGTCTTCCCTGTACCTGCCCATCCCTGCACATGGCCTGCCCCAGCCAAGGGCATCCTGTACCCTTAATATGTCAAGACAGGGGAGCTCTCCTATTACCTTGCAGGCAAACTTGAGGACTTTCATCTTGCTAGTCTCATGGTAGGAACGCAAGCCCCAGAAGAACTCATATTCAGGTGGTCTGCTATTGGGGACCCTCTTGTACTCCAGGTACCTTGGAGAAAGGAAATAAAGCTTGCTTCTAATCAAGGAAACCTGTTGTCTTAACGACTTAGCACCAGGTGGCAACCTCCTCCAAACAAATACTAAACTCAGCTTCTAGAGAAGGATTTCCAAGGCTCTCCTTCCCCAGACTTACTCCCAAACACAGTTCATGATCTTGGCCTCCAATACTGAGCCATTTCCCATTGGCCCTGTGCAAAGCAGTCACTTGGTGTTGCAGGGTAGGCATGTATAGGGCATAGTGTCACAGGAAGGCCAAAGTATCCTGCCACCTGTGAGGAGTAAACCCAAGTTTCTGTTGGGTGTGTTGTAAACAGAGGAGCCATTCTCTGGGCATTCTGCTCTGAGCACACCCCATAGCAAGGACCTTGTGTTTGGTCTGGCCCAGCACTGGAATGGTCCACCCATGGAAATTGTGGACAGGACTCAGTTCTAGGGAACAGAATGCCCATACCTCTAAAGCTGGTGTTAAAAAAAGGGAGTGGGCGCTGATCAAGCACTTTCTGGACGAGACTGGCACACTCAGAACACTGCAGGGCCTTACAAAGCCCCCAAACACCACTTACTTCTGCTTCACAAACTCGTCTGTGATGAGCTTCCTTACTTCCCCAAAGAGCGAGTGCCTCACCCTGACAATGGGAAAAAAAACCCATGAACCAAGATCAGAACTCCCCAGCTGAGGGCAGAGGCCTTTCCCAACATGGAAGAGACCACTCTAGCACATGAGACCATCTCCATGAAGTCAGGAAAGCAGTGAACACATGGTCACTAGAAGCAGGCAGTTGAGGCCAGATGGTTCTTTCTCAGGGATGCCCTGAAAGTCTATCTTATACATCAGCTTAGAACAGAAAGAGGGAGCAGAGAGTCAGGACCCTTTCCCCATCCACCCAGGTCAAAACCCAGGACCCTCTGCCCCATCCAGCACCCCCACCCATTCCACCAGACCACCAGGCTGACACAATCCTGGGACCATCCTCTCTTGCCAAAGGACAACACGGACAGCAAGCGCTGAGAGAGCCCAATCATACCCGGGGCGCAGCCCCAGCTTGCGCAGCACCTCCCAGATGACAGCTGCAAGGGGAGGCAAAAGAACAGGGACAAAAAATGAGCATGTGGAATTCCAACCACAACCCCCAATTCAGCTGCCAGCCCAGCCACTCACCCTCATTGGCCTTGTTGCCATTCATAAAAATGACACTCAGAATCACCATGAGAAGACCTAGTTTGGGTGTGTCCTTGGTCCTAGGAGAATAATGGGACAGAGAGAAGGTTTACGTCCAGCAGCCATTTGCAAAAAATCACACTGGCCAGCTCACTGGGCTAGCCTCCCCCAGATTCTTCAGATATGGGAGAATTCCTCCCAGTCTATGCTTCAAGCTCTATGTGACCCTGAGTGAGGCACTTAGACTCTTGAGCCTAGTCTCCTATGCATAAAATGGGAAGATCACATCCTCCTCTCCCCAGGCTGCTGAGAAGATAGAAGGATGCCTGTCAACTTGGTACGACCTGGGCACCCAGTCAATATGAGTCCCTTCTTTCTCTCCCAGACTCCTCAGCCCTGAGAGAACTCGAGGCACAGCCTCAATGATGCTCCTGTCCTTCAAGCACCATGATCCACCCATACCAGGAAGCCCTCCCTTGAGAACCATTCTACCAAGGCCAACAGGAAGAGACAAGCAATGACAGGTCTGCTTTCCTGGGAAACTTCTGGAGAGACAGAAAATCTGACAGTAGGAATGCCCTGCCCCAGGCTTCTACACCCTTGAGTCAATCATAATCAGGCACCACTAGTCTGAGTAGGGCTCCAACTATGTTCAGGAGCTGGAACAGGGGATTTTTTAGGTTCTGTATTTCCTGACTCCCCAAGGGAATGTGAGGAGAGAAGAAGACAGGGATGGACAAAAGCAGAAGCCTCCCTCCCATCCCAGCCCTATCCCAGCTTACGTTCCCAGTATGCCTGCAGAGGATTCCTGAATGCTGATGAGAATATACAAGCTACTTTGCTTATCAATTTCCTTCAGATTGACTCGAAACATCTGCCAAGTGAAAGAATAGTCTGTGAGATGACAAAATTCAGCCTAGGCATCAATGAGCTTGTTGAGCATCCCGCAGTTCCCTGTTTACCTAGGGTTTTGTGAATGTGTGTGAGAAATAAGGCACATAAAGCACTTAGTTGCATGGCCAGCACACAGCAAACAGGTAACAAATGTACTATTGTTATCAAAATCATATTTGTGATTAGTGGGAATCTAGGGAGACAGAGACTGGGCAATGGAAGGGAGAGGTGACCACCTGAAATACATTACAGGACGTGTCAATCAGCAGCCAGCAGCCAGGACTAAACTAGGTGGCTTGGGTCCAACCTGTGCTTTACCACTGACTTGCTGTGTGACCCTGGGATAGTCTATGCTGCTCCCTAGGCCACTGTCTACCCAGCTACACGGTGATGGGGCTGGATTAGTGAGTCTCTGTGGTCCCCTGCAAAGAGACATGTACACCTTTGTTCCATTCAAGACTTCCCCGTTGCACCCATCCCTCAGGGCTGTCCCTTTACCTTCTCCAGAGCATAGCTTGCTCGTTCAATGATCTCTGGGAAATATTCATCATATTCTTGGATGACATCCTTCAGCATATCTGCAGGAAGGGAGAGGTGGAAGTAGCTGGGCTGAGCAGGGGCCACTGACATGCAGCCCTTTTGCCAGCTCTGTGGGGTTTGTGCAGTCTGAGTCTTGAATTGTGTTAACAGGAGATGCCAGCCATGACAGAGTGTGAAGAGAGTGGGGGGTGCGTACATATGAGAGAATGGAAAGGCCATAACAGTGAATGGTTACCCCCATGGCATGGAGAAGAGAGGAGAGTTCAGGGAGGAGGGTTGGTATGACTCTACCTGAGCGCTTGATGGGTATCTTTGTCTGGTCCTTAACCAACAGGTATTTCACCAACTTATTTGCCTAGGGGAAGAGGAATACATGGGGAGACCTCAATATCTTTTCAGAAAACTTGGAAGGATGACAAAGAAGAGGGCAGGTGAATAAGAGAAGAGACTGGGCAGCATTGGATTCTTACCCTTTCTTGCAAAATGGCCACATCTCGGGGTAGTGGAGGCCTCCGGCCCCATGGGATCCACCTATAATTAACACCACTTCTCTCATCCCCATTCAGATGCTTGGACTGCATTGTCAGAAAGAAGGAAGGTCCAGAGTTACCAGGTGAAAGAGTTGGCTCTGTCTCCCTACCCAGCCTGTTCCTGAAAGTCTCCTAAACCCTCTCTGTAGTGGGTCCTGACCTTACCATTGGCCACACAGAATCCTAGATTTGTTTTTCACTATCTTCTAGGCAGGAGTTTCATTTCCCTGCCGGGACAGGAATGCCCCAAGAGCCAGGCCTGGTTCCTTCTCTTCTTCTTTTGGCCACCACTGGTTCTACTAGCTGTATCCCTTCAACAAGTCTCTTCACCTCTCTGGGACTCAGTTTTCTTATCTTTAAAACTGGGACCTATGATCCCTAGCTGGTAAAAGTTACTTCCAAAACATAAAGACACAACTTGTGTGACTATACTCAACACAAAACCTGGCATGTGGTAGTTACTATATAAATACAAGTTGAATTATATCCAGGTTGCAGCTAAGGGTGTGGATGTCTTCTTTCCCAACCAATCTGTGAACTGCCAATGAGCAGGAACCACATCACATTCTTCTCAGCATCTCTCACAGCCAATGTGAACACAGGGACTGGCTCAGAATAAAAAGTCTCAGTAAACTGTCGTAGAACAGATGAACAAACCAGGAGGATAAGAATGGAAAAGAAGTACAAAGTTAAAGATGGTGATGTCAAAGATCTCACCTTTCGGTTCCTCTTGCCCCGGGTCCTGGATGTGGGCTCCAGACTCAACTGAGCCAGGTAGTCATCTGCCAGGGCCTGGACAGCAGCAGCAACCTGAGTCTCAAGGGCACTTATGTTGGTCTGAGAGGTAGCCATCTTGGCCTGGACCCCTTGGTCAATTTGAGTCTGGCTTTCAGTTGTCCGGACCTTAGTGGCAACCTTCCGAGCCCTGGACCCTCTCTTGACCCGGAGGGTAACTGCTAAGGCTTGGTCTGTGACCATTTGAGTGGCAGGTGGGGCCTCAGAGATCTCACAGGCAGAATTTGGGCCCTTATTGGCAGCCTTCTTGCCCTTGGGTTTTTTGGGCCAGATAGCTGCTGATGAGGCCTCAGTCTGCCTGGTAGCTGTCTCAGTTGCATCTGGGGCCTCTGGGAGCTCAGTATCAGTATTTGTGCCCTTAACAGTTGCCTTCTTGGCTTTGAAAAATTTCCTAGTTTGGATGGAGGCTGCTGTGGCCTGGGTATTGGCTGTCACATTGGTAATTTGGCCTTCGGTGGTAGCTGTGTAAATGGTAGATGGACCCAGTGAGATCACAGTGGCACTAGCTATGGCCTTATTGTGAGCCTTCTTAGCCTTGAAAGCTTTCTTAGGCTTGGTGGAGGCTAACAAGGCCTGGGAATTGGCTGACTCACTGGCAAATGGAGTCTGGATAGTCTGTGGGATGACAGGTAAGTTTAGGGCCTGCAAGGGTGACTTGATCTCTGTGGTGACACTCTCACTGCCAGTTGGAGATTGGGAGCCCTGGGCTGTCTTAGCAGTAACTCTCTTTGTCTTGTTGGCTTTCTTAGGCTGAGAGGTGAATGAAGAAGCCTGAGTATTGGCTGCCTCAGTGGTAGCTGAAGCCTGGGTGACCCCGGGGATGATTGGCAGGTTTAAAGCCTGAAAAGTTATTTTAGGCTTGTTGGTGGCAATCACATCGGCAGATGGGACTGGAAGGGCAGCAGGTATGGTCTTAGTGATAGCCTTAATAGGGGCCTTCTTGGTCTTGCTTTTCTTAGGCTGGTTGGCAACTGGTGGGTCCATGGCCAGGGGGTCCTTGGTTGCCGCCAAGAGGGTATGCATCAGCAAGATACTGTCTTCTTCTGTGGTCTCAGCCTGTACATCTGGAGGGAAGTGAAGCCCCAGGCTCCCAGGGGGAAGCAGAGGGCCCTACACACTTAGGATTATGATAGGCTGAGCCATCTGGCCTCCCTACAGCCCGCCCTTTCCACAAGGCCTCCCCTTCCTCTGAGTGATGACTGATTGAAGGAGAGGGTGAAGAAAGAGGAAGGGAGCAGGAAATAGGTAGGTTTTCCTCATTTTGTCCTCCTCCACCATGCAGGGGAGGACTGAAACAGGTTAGACAGAGAATTATGAAACTACAGAGTGGTAGGGGGTTCAACAGCAGTAAGTGAACTCAGGATAGGGCAGATGGCCTAGTGAGAATGCAGGGAGGCCTCACCTGTAACGGGGACATCTTATAATCATAGTCATTTCTCCTATCCATTTTTCTGGAAAGTCGAGAAACAGCTGAGCTTGATAGGATGGGGCCTGAGTTAAGAGAGAATGAGAGGGAGGTGAAGATTCATCAGGCCTCCTGACAATCCTTGAAGCAGCGGGATCTCATCAAACTTTGGGCCCCAAACCCTTCAACTACTGGGTTCTCATACCTAGAAACCCAGACCATCTGGCTTCCAAATCCTTGTTCCTCTCTTTGCCTCCAAGAAACCGCAAGTCAGTTTCACGACCCCGCCCCTTAACCTTACACACCACCCCCATACCGCAATTTGATAGTGCGCACGCGCGCCAACGGAATGAGTGCGGGCAAGCTCAGGCGCTCTGCGCGCAAGTGCTTTGGTGGACAGTCTGTCCACTTCAATTCCACATAAACCCTCTGCCCTCAGATTAGCAGAACATCTCGGCCCCACCCCTTACCCTCCCTTTCTAAGTGCACCTCATCTCACTCCAACCCTTCCCCTAACATGGCCCCCCTCCCTCCCTCCCTCCGCTCTGCAGCACCTCCTTGCACCGCCCCTTCCCCAACCTCTGCAATACACAGTCCCTCTCCTCTGCAGTACAGCCACGCACTGCACCTCCCCTTCCCGAAATGCCCCCTCCCTCCGCTCTGCAGTACTTCTCCGCACCTCCTCTTCCCTTTATGTACCCGCTCCCTCGCTCAGCTCTGCAGTATGTCCTTGCACCGCCCCTTCCCCAACACCGCTCCCCTACTTCCACGTCTGCAAATGACCATCCCGCCCTTTCTGCAACATGGATACCCCACCACAAATCCGACAGTATTATGCTTTTACGCTTTTGTGTAATCCTCGTTCCTGAACCCTACCCGGTCCTGTCCCTTTCCTTTTCAAACTGGGAATCAACCAGGACCTAGCCCCTCTTTTCTCGCCTCTGAGCCTGATCATTTCACTGTTCAGTAGGAATTCTGCCCCTTCCTTCTTCCAGGTCCCAGTTTCTACTTTCAGTGGCCCAAACCCGTTCCCGCCCTCTTACTCCCGCTTCACGGAGTCCTGCCATCGCCTATCTCCCTGACAAACTGGATCCTGTTCCTTTCTTTCTATGGTCGGAACAATTCCTTGATCTCTCCTTTCTGCAGTCCCGACCGGGTCTGCATCCCTCCTTCCTGCAGCCCCAACAGCCCCAAAGGCGAGTCCAGATCTCGCCTTTCCGTTGCCGAAGGGGGATTCTGCACCCTCCTTTCTCTGGTTCGAACCAGATCCAGGCATCTTTAAATCCGACCACTCTGATGCCTTTAGCTCCTGAATCCCTAGCAGATATTCTGCAAAACTTAAGGGCATGT